GGTATCGCTCATCCCTAGTACGTTTACCGTCTTTATTAAACATTCTATTGAAATGTGATTAATAAAAACCAATGTCAAACCCATAGACTTAAAATAAAATATAGACTGAGCATTTCATTCATAAATAACTGGAAATTGTGGTCCGACAATGTCTTGTTATTGTTGTGTTATTGGTTTAGGTTCTAACGAGTGCGACACGAGCGATAGATAGGTTGTCTCCGTCGTAGAGGTGTGTAGTTCATGACCGAACTAGTTCAAAAGATTGAATCTCATATGTGAACTAAATGATTCAATCAGTTGGATCGAAAAGATTCGATCAATTGAACTAAACTAAAAATAAGAGCGATATTGAGATCGCGAACAAATTGTACTAACAATTTGATTCAATCTTTCACGTTCAGTTCAACCATTCCCTACCTATTTTGTTCGCGAAAGTTTAGTAACTAGGAAACAAAGAAGGGATACAGGTCCGAGGGCGTAATTTTTAATTCATTACATCATATTTTGATTGTTGTTGGCGAATTGTTATCGGCAACCTCATTCAAGAAAATACAAAATGAGCAATGAACGTGTTTCCTTTATATTAATAAGTTAAAAATATTCATAAATTTACCTTTATTGATTTTGTTGTTTATTAAGATTTGTAGTTTTGTGATTGGTCTTTTTTAGAATTTTATTTAATAATAATATCAAGGCATTTTGTTCTTCAAGTATTAGCTACAACTGTACTAGTAATAATATTTAAAACATTAACATGTTGAACAAATTTCTTTTAAAATTCTGTTTATTCATGTTTCTTTGTGTCCTAAAACAACATAAAATAACTAAATAAACGGTAAAGTTTACAAAAGGGCCAAAAACGTCTAAACATAAGGTCTATGTGAATGAAAAACTTCTATATTTATCTTAGTAATCCTAAAACTATTTAATATTTCTGATCAATTATCAATTAACTGATTAGAAATATAAAACGATACTAGTAAAATCACCTTGAATTATTTGTTAATTATAATTGATTCTTTCCGTTCATTCGCTGTGCGAAATGCTAATACATAATACTAATAATAAATAATAAACACTAATAACAGCTCAGTGGACAAAATGAACTAAACGACCTAATCTTTCTTTAGTACTGTTGCGGACCCGTGTGAACTCGGCCTAATATATATGACTATGACTCATACGCCCGGCGACGTTCGAAAACGAATAGAAGCTGGTGAGACGAAGAACGCGGCTAAGAATTTTCAAGTCAAATCTGGATTCTCTGTTTTTCTCATATATAAGCCGACGCCTGAAGCCTGAAGAGGACGGAGAAAAACAACCGGTCGACGCGTACAGTTACAATCGCCGCGCTAAATTCAAAATAAATTCCTTTTAGATAAATTGTAAATAAGTTATAAATAGTTCTTTAAGTCGTTTAATCGTTATTGTTTGTTACCTAGTGTAAATAAATTGTGTTTAAATAAATTGTGACTTTCTATCCACACGGAACCGACGAAAAACGTAACAATACTATTCTACTGATCGAGATCGAAAAGATGAAAATCGGTCAGTGAACGAAATGAACTAAACGATCTAATCTTTTTTTTTTTACTATTCTACTGATCGAGATCGAAAAGATCGAAATCGGTCAGTGAACGAAATGAACTAAACGACCTAAAATTTCTTTTGTACTATTCTACTGATCGAGATCGAAAAGATCGAGGTCGGTCAGTGAACGAAATGAACTAAACGATCTAATATGTATTTCTTTATTTCTTTTGTACTGTTCTACTGATCGAGATCGAAAGATGGAAATCGGTCAGTGAACGAAATGAGCTAAACGAATGTGTATTTCTTTCAATCGAGCAGAGAGTGTGGCGTTGGTTACCGCCATGAACACAAAGAATATACTTTATCATGGGTTGCCTAAAATTTTATTTTAATTTAAAATATCAAGTCAAATTTCATTATGTATTTACTGTAAGATTGTAATATAAAAAAAACAAATTCGGTTAGAATAAAAATCGATGACATCACCATATAATTTTTATTTATAAAATTACTGCGGTCTTTATTTCAAAGACAACTCTGATATGCCTCTAAAGCCTATTACTTTATTTATACAAAGTGTCCCAGAAATAAGTGCAAGTATTTTAAGGGGTGGTATATCTCGGTAAAAGAAACATATTTTCTCTTTATCGTTTTTCAAATAAGTCCAAAATAACGGTTATTTTACTTTGAAAATTTCCAAAAAAATGATTTTTTGCTCAAATTTTGAGAACCACTGGATCTTTTGTGGATTTTCTTTAAATAAAAATTAAGAATTATTAATTAAGTAAATTTAATCTACTACCTATGTTGCCATATTATCAAGAAATTATGTTTTTTAACTAAAAACTAAACAAAAATCCAAAAAAATTTCCAAAAATTTCGAATTTACAAAAAAAATTCGCGAAAAAACCTCATAGGCGTGTTTCTGAGGTTGAACTGTACTACCAGTTAAAATACTTGCACTTATTTCTGGGACACCTTGTATAGCATGAATATATCATCAACAATTACTAAATATTTAGCCGGCGAATTTCCATCTAACGTAAGATGGTAAAAGAGCACTTCATCTCGATCAACAGTGTTCTAAATGAATTAAACGAACTAGTCTTTTGAACTATTTACTTTAGTGAACGAGATTGAAAGATGGAAATCAGTAAAGTGAACTAAACTTCCCACCTCTACTCCGTCGTAACGGTCGTTCTAAGTCGTTCCCTGACGACTCTGACGAGAAATGCAACACTGTATTTCGTTTCTCAGTACACCTGACCTGAACTCTAAGCTATAATTCAATTCAATTAAAAATATATCGTATTTAAACATTTTTATATTTTATTAAGATTTAGGAGAGGGTTGTTAAATAAAATTTTAGAAAAAAACGTCTTAGAGTCCAAAAACGATAAAAATAATAAAATACATGTTATTGAAGAAATTTTAATAATCAAAATTACGTATTTAATTTTTGAAATTAATAATAAATTATTAATTTTAGTCAAACATTTACAACCCTAATATTAATCAAAACAGGATCTATTCTATAGATATAATAGAATCGGCGACAGGGAAAGTGAAAAAACTTTACGATTGTTGTATTTTTTTTTGGTAAGTGATGTCTTATTATGTAAATGAGAGAAAACAGAAATCTGTTCCATTAAATCAAACTTTTAGGAAGTGGATAAAATAAAAACACTACTTTTATTTAACTCGGTACTGTCTTTATTATACCGGGTGCGTCCCGAAAGTGGCTCACCCCCATAATTTTTTTTCAAATAAAAAAAACAAGATTTGGCATGTTTAGTATATGACATAAATTAGGATTGATTGACGCATTCAATTGTTTTTGGTCACTTCCTGTTTCACCGGAAATCACTATAACTTTTGATTTTTAAATGGCACCCTCGGTATATTTCTACTTTATTCGATAGAAAATGACACTCTGAATAGAATGACATATCATATGTCAACTGTTGTCATTTTCGCTTATCTCGTCTAATTGAAATTGTAACACGCGGTTCATAACAACAATTTGATTCGAAATACCAAGTGTGTGGTATCAATATATTCATAAAAAATGCTTTTTCCAAATATGCTAATTCCATTTGAAAAAATTGACATATGATTAAAAACACGATTTGTGCATCTTTTAACCGGCCTAGACAAGACACGAAAAACATTAGACGATCAAAACTATTTTTCAAATGCTTCTTGATTAAAAGTTAGTGTTTTTAACACCGCCATGGCACCCTGGATTGAAATTTAAAATACGATTTGTTTTTAAGCGACAATGTCAAAAGTTGACATATGATATGTCATTCTATTCAGAGTGTCATTTTCTATCGAATAAAGTAGCAATATACCGAGAGTGCCATTTAAAAATCAAAAGTTGTAGTCATTTCCAGTGAAACAGGAAGAGACCAAAAACAATTAAATACGCTAATCAATCCTAATTTATGTCATACTAACATAACAATATGTTTTTTTTATCTGAAAAAATAAAAAAGTTATAGGAGTGAGCCACTTTTGAGACGCACCAGGTATATTAAAAAATATTGTTTCATAATGTAATATCATTTTAAAATTCTTGTATGTTATTTTAGATTCTGAAGATAGTTTTAGAATAAACCGGAATAATATTTTTAATAAAAACAATATTAATTTTTTAACCGATGCCTAATATAATTTATCTATTATGTATAATAACAGGGTTATAATTACGATTTTGTTACAAAAACCTTTATAAATAATTATGTAATAAAAAAATCAGATTTTACATTTTACTAAAATATTATCTAAATAAGCGCCTTTCTACAACAACGCCACTGACTCCCAATTGGTAAGTTGAGAGTTGCCTACCCGTCGACAGTCGTTTAATGACTTAAATGGATTATTTAAGTAAAATTTCTTGCAAATTTGGCACTGGCGAACCATATTTTATAGTTCTTGAATAGAAAAAGTAAATAAAATAAACACTTAAGGACTACAAACTAAGAAAATGCGTTAATACAGCCGTATTATATATCGGTGTTGCCATATTGTAAAGAACTTATGTTTTTTAAATAGTATCCGACTTATAATTTAGTAGTGAAAGGACTATTTAACACATCTATGGAATATTAAAACCTACTTTATTAAAATGCAGTATTAATATCTCAATATATCTGTATAATAAGTAAAAAAATATTGATAATATTAAAGATGTGACGACTTAGGCTGGACGAGGAAGATTCGGTCGGCTGCGGTCGAGTCTTAAGTCTTAAGAACTTAAGTCTTTTTAAAACTGACTTGTTGCAGCTCGGTATACCTGTCGGAAATCTAAAAAATCGATGAACTTGAACTTGAATCGATTTTTCTTTCATCACGGAGCCGACCGAGAGGTTGATTTACTTCAATTTTTAGGTTGGCTTATCCAGGAGAAGTAATGGATAAATGCGGTGATAATGCCTCAAATGATTACACTAAATTATACTCACGTATTTCCCATTTTCGGTTGGCCGAAGGGTTACCGAAACTTCTCGATGGGGAATAACTTGGTTCCGAATATGCAGAACCCGTAAAATCGTCGAAATCTTCGTCAGAAGTTAAGCCAGACGCTTCATCCTCAAAATAGCATGGCGGTCCAAATTTTGGTGTGGTGACGTTATATAATGCTAACATCGTTTCTCTAGGCACCTTTACGAAACTATTGCCATTACACGCCTAAAAATTGACGCCCTTGTGTCGTGTCGAAAAGAAAACGAATATGGCTTAAGAGTAACTCACTTGACATCTGCTGAAAACGTGATCTTTCGTCACTTTAACCTTGTAAAAATCTAATACTTCTTGCAATTGTTCGTCAACATGATTTGAATTTACATTAAGACAGTGTCCGGCTGGAACGTATCCATTTAACTGTAAAAAGAAAATTTACAAATGGGAATGAGTTAAATTGAAACCCAATTATTGTACTGGTCATTAATACACTCAGATGCAAAAAAAATGCATCATCTATCTATTTTCATGAATTTTTAAGCAAGCTGTATATAGGGTGGTGACAATTTCGATGCTCAACATTGACATCTCAGAAACTACGAGAGATAGGAATTCGATTAAATGGGACAAAAGTTGCGTAATTAGAAGTTTGATAAACACCTATGAAGAAACGGTATCTTGATTAGTTTCGGATTCATGGCAAAAATAATGAAAATAATACGTTTATTTTAAATGACAGTATCTTCAGAACTATTCTATCTACTGCAACGTAAGTTGATAGTTTTATATTTTTGACTTCGGCCAATTAAATGCCATTTTCAGAAAATTTCTAAGCCTTCTAGATTTCGCACAACAACGGTCAAGTTTTTGTTTTCTTATGGCCGCCATTTTGAATTTTTATACTTTTAGATAGAGCAAAAAATAATCTATACGGTGGTATCTAATTTTTATTCATTATTATGTAAATTCACTAAACAAAATAGATTTTTTAAAAAATCGCTCAAAAGATCAAGTCTGCCTTGGAAATTCCATTGACACTTTATATGACAGCAAGTTAATTTTTGTTTACACTACTAAGTGTCAAATTTGGACACAAAATTTTATAATAGATAGTGTAAAGTGTATTAACAGTCAACAATATGTTTACAAGTGATGAAACGCGAGATATGTATGTTTACTTAAAAAATAATAGAATTTCCGATATAGCATGCGCAATTTATAGAACATTGTATCCTAAAAGGACACAGCCTTATCTTACTATTTTCGCAAGGAAATTTAGCAGTTGCTGGTAGCTTTAAAAAACAAGATATTTAAAGAAGACAATATTTAAAAGGCTTAATGATATTAATATGACAGCTCAGATTGAAATAAGTCCGGAAACTTCTAGCCGTAAAATAAGTCGCGAGTGTTGTATAAGCGATTCTTATGTAGTAGGGAAAATTATCAAAAAAAATAAATATCAAAATTTAAATGTGTACCAAATTGACATTTTTTTACATGCTGGTGATCACAAGAGAAGATTACAATTTTGCAAATGGTTTCGGGAAAGTGTTCAAGAAAGCCCCCTTTTTTGTAGAAAAATATTATGGACGGATGAATGTTTATTTACAAATTCTGATACATTTAAAAGAAAAAAAATGACATTATTATGCAAAAGAAAATCGTCATTTAATTAGAGAAACTAGAGCACAAATATGCTGATTTGGTGATATACTGAACAAAGTTCAAAGGGTATGAGACAGTAATTTTATTACAATTCCTTGTATTGCCTTGTATTGAACTCTACTACACAATTTTTGTGCGTCCAGATTTGCCACTTAATAGAATAAACAAAAAATAACTTGCTGACATATAAAGTGTCAATTGGATTTCCAAGACAGACTTGATCTTAGGCGAATTTAAAAAAAAATATATATTTTTAGTGAATTTCCATAATAATGAGTAAAAATTATATACCACCGTATAGACTTTCTTTCGCTCTATCTAATAGTGTAAAATTTCAGAATGGCGGCCATAAGAAAACAAAAACTTGGCTGTTGTAGTGCGAAATCTAGGCTTAGAAATTTTCTGAAAACGGCATTTAACTGGCCGAGGTCAAAAATATAAAACTACCAACTTACGTTGCAATAGATACAATAGTTTTGAAGATATTGTCATTTAAAATAAAGGTTTTATTTTCATTTTTTGACATAAATCCAAAACTAATCAAGGTACCGGGGTTTTCTTCATAGGTGTGTGTCAAAGTTCTAATTACGCAACTTTTGTCCCATTTAACCGACTTCGTATCTCTCGTAGTTTCTGAGATGCCAATGTTGAGCATCGAAATTGTCACCACCCTGTATAATTATATCAAGTTTAATTCGTAAACTCACCCTTTTATGAACTTTAGTATATGGCATATTATACAGGGTTAATCGTGGAGTTGTTTTTTTACCTTAACCTTAAAACACCCTGTGCAATAATTTCGTGTGCAAATTTTCCTAAAATATAATTTTACGGACAGAACTATGTCTCCTGAGTATTTTGTTTTTTGATTCATCTCAATACATGCTTTGGTTAATTTTTAAGAGCAAAATAAACTGATAACGATCAATTTGCATTTTTTTTAATTATCATTATTTTTTGACGATATTTTTTAATATGACGAGATGGTTTTGATGACTATTGTCGTAACGTCATATTATAACTGCATTGGATACTCTATACTGGTTTAAAAAAACGCTAAAGACTAACGATACAGAGTCCGGGTTTTAATAAACATTAATAACAATAATAGAACTAACGATATTAAAGAAAACATCTGTAATACTCAAGTATACAAACAGAAAAAAAAATTGTAAAAATTACCCTAATACTTTGTATTGCCGCCCTTGGCTACTATACGTCCTGCTAACTACCTATATACGTCCGTTCATACTGTCATTGAGACTGCATATACAGGTTTGTTCACCACATACGACACGGAGAATTGTAGCTAAACGACTAAATATTTACAAATTGTAAGTTTTAGGTTCGTTGAAGGACTATTAGAGCTACAATTTAAAAATATTTTTACAAGATACAGAGTGTCCCAAATAAATAAAAAATATCAAAGTAGTATTTTTTTAAATGGAACACCCTATATATTATTACATTTTTAGTTTCTACGATTAAAATAAAGGTAAATTTGATTAAGGTTTATTACACTTAAACCTTAACATTTTTGAAATATTTTCAATTTTGTGAAATTGCAGTATAAATTTTAAGGTTTCATTTCTCCGAGGGTATCAAAGTTTTTAATACTAAATAGTTACTGAAGTTTATTTATTGATCAGTTATTGTGTTGCAATAATAAAAACTTTACTACCTTATACAGAGTGTCTAAAAATTTATTTTAAATAATTACTAGCTTTAAACGGCAATAACTTGTTCAATTTAAATGGAACACCCTGTATATTTTATGAGAATCAGATGCACCATTTAATTGTCTATCAAATTGTATTTTACCATTTTTTACATATCACTTCAAGTTTCCGTAGAAAATGCATTTTCTTGTAATTTAGAACTCAGTTATCAATATATCCATGGAATACTGACATTTTAGATTATTTTTAAAGATGTACCAAATTTTTAAAGAGTACAGATACTAATATTGTCGATGCAGTTCGTTTATTTCATTAAAAAATAAAAAAAACTGTTTAAATATTTGTTAAAGAGGACCAGTTAATATGATTCCAGTATTCAAACTACATTAATTGACTGTTTGCGTTGATTAATAATAATTGCTCCAAATACTAAAAAAACTGAATCATGTATGTGTATTAGACAGTGTGGTAAAAAGTAACACCTTAAAAATGATATTTAATTTTTTGACAAATGCTTATTTATAACAACAGAGACGTTCATTTTCATAACTTATTATTATATTTATTTCTGATTCAAATCCACATTTATTTAGAATAATTTATTAACGAACACAATTAAGTATGTAGTTAAGTAGTATTTGGGCGGAAATACTGGTGGTATAATTAATTAATGGTATACTCTTTTATAAAGATTTAAATAGCTTTCTTTTTGCATACAAGTGGGCTAGTAATATTATCGTTTTAAAAAACGATAATATTACTAGCCCGTAGATTTTGTACATTTGTTGTTTTAAAAACAATCTAAAATGTCAATATTCCATGGGTATGTTGATAAATGAGGTCTAAATTATAAGAAAATGCATTTTCTACGAAAACGTGAAGGAATAGGTAAGAAGTGGTATAATACAATTTGATAGATAATAAAATTGTGCATCTGATTCTCATAAAATATACAGGGTGTTCCATTTAAATTAAATAAGTTATTGCCGTTTAAAGCTAGTAATTATTTAAAATAAATTTTTAGACACTCTGTATAAGGTAGTATAATTTTTATTATTGCAACACAATAACTGATCAATAAATAAACTTTAGTAAATATTTAGTATTAAAAACTTTGATATCCTCGGAGAAATGAAGCTTTAAAATTTATACTGCAATTGCAGTATAAATTTTAAGGTTTCATTTCTCCGAGGGTATCAAAGTTTTTAATACTAAATAGTTACTGAAGTTTATTTATTGATCAGTTATTGTGTTGCAATAATAAAAACTTTACTACCTTATACAGAGTGTCTAAAAATTTATTTTAAATAATTACTAGCTTTAAACGGCAATAACTTGTTCAATTTAAATGGAACACCCTGTATATTTTATGAGAATCAGATGCACCATTTAATTGTCTATCAAATTGTATTTTACCATTTTTTACATATCACTTCAAGTTTCCGTAGAAAATGCATTTTCTTGTAATTTAGAACTCAGTTATCAATATATCCATGGAATACTGACATTTTAGATTATTTTTAAAGATGTACCAAATTTTTAAAGAGTACAGATACTAATATTGTCGATGCAGTTCGTTTATTTCATTAAAAAATAAAAAAAACTGTTTAAATATTTGTTAAAGAGGACCAGTTAATATGATTCCAGTATTCAAACTACATTGTTTACACTTTGTTAGTGGACTGTATATAACTTTTAGATGTGTACTAGTGTTTCCAAATGAAACAAGATATCGAAAAACAAGTGTTTATTAAAAATAAACAGTACAAAAAAAAATGAGGAATGCGGCGTTTTGTCAGCCGCCTACAAAAACAAAAAAATCTATCTGTCCGTCGCCGATCGTCCCTCGAGACGACGACGCCACGCTACTTTCAGGGGAGGGGCACCGTGTTGCCGTTGTGCGACATAAATATTGTTTCCCTTAGAAATTACAACATACCCCCGGCTTTGAAAGAGCATGCTTTCAACATAAATACTGAATAATAAACAAACCAAAACAAACAATAATAAAATAAAAAAAAATAAAAAATAAGAACATTAAATATACAAGTAAGTAAGGATAAGTATTACAGACTT